TCTGGGATAGGGTTAACGATTTGGTCGTTTTTGTCTGGCACACACTGGATAAAAAAGTGCATTACTGTACACGAAATACATTTGCATTTACTGCACTGTGTTTTATTGTTCAATTTCATTTAAAGAGGTCTGTTAGCTTTGTTTGTTGACTGTTTTCTTTTTACTGTACTACAGACTTGCAGCTACAATGCTCATTACAACAGCCTAAACGGCATCAAAAAGCACAGTACTGTACAAGCACTACATCATTTCTGTACTATACTGTACTGTGCTGTATATTTTCATTTAAAGGAATATGTGAGTTTTTTAAACAGAGTTCAAAATACTGCGATTGAACCAAACTAATTGAACATCGCTTAAAATCCCGCTAAAACCGAGCTTTGTCTACTCATTATGCTGTAATAGCAAAGTCTACTGTAATGCAGTGCGTGGTCCGTTGATACGCAAAAATTAAAAGAAAATGTAATCCGTATTAAGCTCATTATATCAATAAACAAATACAGTAGAGACGTCTTCAAATTTCAAGTGTCCTTAATGCGGGGTTGTTTATGTATGGAAACTGTCATCCAGGTCCTAGAAATGTGTCCTTTGTACTTATTAACGGGCGTCCTTATAAAGCGGGTTAATTTAACAAAAAATGTATGGAGCTTTCGTTGGGACTTTGAAACCTGTCCTTAATAGCGAGGTGTCCTTATTAAGCGGGTGTCCTTAGAGCGGGGTTCCACTGTAGCATATAAATTTAGGGACTGCCCAAAAGCAGAGCTCCCAATAGGCAAAGGGAGCCCAATTTCAATAAAACTGAAAGATGAAAATAAAATAGGGGCGAAAAAACTTCGTTTTCTCCTCTTCTTCGAGATGAAGATCATGTCCCTCACAAAAAAAAAAGTGAAAAAATGAAATTGAAATGCGCGAACTCATTTTCTTCGCACGAGACTTTCATTTCGACCTTATTACTCGGGCTTTCAAAGAAATAAAGAGGTATAAATTGGGCTTCGTTTTTACGTTCAGTCACAAATCGCATTTTCATTTGCATAATCATACTAGCTGAAAAAGATTTTAAGCTTTTATTAAAATGAATGGCTAATATTTGGTGTAATTGTATATGCTATTTAAAATTTTAATACATTATCGATAGAAATATATTTACCTATCAGAATTAATTTTCAATTTTTCTTTGTTTGCTGATAGGACCGCGCGAACGAAAAACATACAATAATTGATATTAAAAAAAACCGAATCCTTGAAAATTTATAGAGCCAAGTAAGTGCAAATATTTGTCGTAATATGCTCKTTTTTCATATTTCATTCAGAATCAAAATAAATTAAGTTTATCTATAGGAGTATTAAAAGCTTTGATTTGAATGTCGATTCGTCAAAATAAACTGCTTGTCATATAAAGTAAAAGTATGCGATTGTTTGCTAAAAACACACATCTCAATTCTTGAAGAATACTAGCTTCTTGATCTATCTTATCTGTTGTTGGTCTATAATTTTTCCCAAAGCGATGTTTTATGTACATTGCCGAGTAGTTTTGCTTTAACATCCCTGTGCTGTGTGTGTAGTGACGTAGCTTGTGGTCAAGCATTTAAAAATCAACTTGATGGTTTAACCATTTTTTCTTAAGTATGGCCATGGTGCTCCGCTTGTACGGGGATCCGGCCCGGGCGGGAGCTCCGCCATACTATCATGAAGTGTGACAATTAAACAGTAAATTTAGTAAATAACTTACATCAGCGGCTCTAGTACCGGGACGACCATTGCCACCGTCTTGTCCTTTGTGTCCATTACCTCCTTTAGAACTGATATCAAGTTCGCCATGTATTGCGTCACTGAGTACTTCGACTAAAAAATTAAATGTTATAGATATGGAGAGAGAATTAAAGGAAGAGGAAGAGAGTCAGGAATAAGGAGGGGGAGCTCGAAAAGGAGAGAGAGAGAGGGAGAGAGAGAGGGGGGGTGTTATTTACGTAAGATTTTGCACGCGCTTCAATCGTTTGCAACTTTGGTGTACTTATTATGATGCAAACCTCTCTGAAAAATGTTCCGAGATGTATATATATATACGTCACAAAACAAGAATTCTGCGATTTGTTAAATTCTTCATTGTTACCAAGTTTCAAGAAAATTTTAATGAAATACAAAAAAGTTGTGCCAAAATAAGACATTTTTTAGCCCTTCTAGCCCGACGTCATCGTTTTAGGCGTTTTTCACACTAGCGTCGTATTCGGAATCGTTAGCAACATACGTCCAAGAGGTTTCGGGAAACACGCGTAAAGGGTTGTTTTAGTTGATCAGGCGGTCCAAGTGTTTTTCGCATAACAAAGAGGTATCAGTTCACGATAATTAATCGAAGAATTGAAAGCACAATGCATGCACCATTTGACCCATAGGTAGTCGAAATAAGTATCGGTAGAATTTTAAATGCTTTGTTAGTCCATCATCGCAAATAGGAAAGCAAAGATTCAGAGTTATTTTTTTCTGACAGCGGCCGCCATGTTTTTTTCCGATGGACCGCCTGATCAGATTTATTCCTGCGCGATTACTGGCTGGTTTTTGATGGGCTGACAAAACGAGATCACCTGGGTAGAGTCTTATCGCATTTATCACCTAGGTGTTAAAAGACGAAAATATTAATGACAAGTGCACGGAGTCTGCTTCTGCGTTTGTTGCTTACCATTACGACGCTAGCAGTAAGTGTGCTAACTATTTGATTATAAAGTTTATACCATGCGCCACTTATATTATATTATCTATTTTAACAATTGAATCCTTGCGTGTCATCACTCACCCTCTGGTCCATCTTTGCCGTCTTTTCCATTGTCTCCGTTGGTTCCAACTCCGTTTCCCTGAACTCCTGGAGTAGCAAAATCTTGTATCCAGTCTGGTGTAGCAAAAACGATCCGACTTCCCTCAGCAGCGACAATTTGCCTCGCGTATATTTTAACAGTTTGAATTGCATAAAAAGTAACTTCACCCTATAAGATAAAAAGCTATCTGAGTTAGACTGAAATTTCCAAGAAAATAGTCCGATTGGCTAATATCATGTACTCACTATCTATTCTGTGATAGATAGCGAGTAGCAAAATAATAAACAAGTGCGCATGCATGGTCAAGTTTCGTCGAAATCTCTGCTTGTTCTCTAAAAAATCTTTAAGAATCGATTGTAAAAATACAGAAGACTGTATCAAGGAAAGGAATGGAGGTTTTAGACAGCACAGATAAATAAAAAAACTGAAGAATTATGGCAATTTTAACACGAAAAAGCAGCCTTCAGATTTCATTGAGATTTTCATGAACAAAACTTACGACGGACGACAAACAACTGACTGCTGAGATAATGATGTCATTTTAAAAGGATTTCCTCAAAGAACAGAAAAAAATTCCAAGAGACAACTTATTCACATGTATTCAAGAAGAATTTTTCAAATGGGAAGAACAGACGAAACATATAAGAAAGTACAAGAATCTTAAGCGAATTCTTACATGGCACGGCTTTGAATGATCTGACAACAAAATATTTATAAATGAATCCGTTCAGTTTATCACTCAATAATCGTTCTCGTTTTCTATAAGTCAAATAGTCGATTCGGCGCTGTGCGCCTCCTCGACTATCTATTGACTCCTATATCTATAGAAAACTCGACCTCGTAGTCTAATTGTTAATTTGTTTAAAAGCTGGCATACTATTGCAAATCCTGCATGCTTTGCATTCTGATTGGCTAGACTAGTACAGGTCTATTACTGATAGCACACAATAGAAACGAAAAACACGACAAAGGTGCTTGACTGTCGTTTTATTGTTTTGGAAATTTGTTTATATATATATATATATATATATACAAGAAATCTGTGAATCAATTTTCCGTAGAACAGTGCTCAATACATCGATAGAAGTAGAGCAGAATATTTGTTTGAGAAGAAAAAGTCAAGACAACATTTTTCCCGACAAGCCTGTTTCGTGAATTGCTTTACTCTCAAAATGTTGTCTTGAAAAATGTTGTCTTGACTTGAAAAAGTCAAGACTTTTTAAAGACTTTCCTAAGATTATGGCCTCTAGGAAAGTGTTTATCAACTAGGCCAAGGAATCTCTGTYCGATATTGGTGCTGACATTTTTGCTAAATGGGGGGTTGTACCAGAGTATGCCTTTTCGTTGTCTGTTTTTGCGTTTTGTGGTCGCGGTTGATTCGTAGTGTAGGGTGTACTGGTATCCGCTTTCGTCAAGTGCTTTTTAATATGGAGTGGCAGCTTGGTCGAAGAATGCTTTATCGGATGAAAGGGATGACAGTCGTCTGTTGATGCCGGCAGGTATGTTGTTGGTAGTGATTGGTGGATGGTTGCTCTCACGGTGGACGTACTGCAGTGTRGTGTTAGGCTTTATGTAGGGCTGGTAGGTATTTTGGGTTAGGTTGAAAGTAGCGTCTAGGAAGTTGATGATCTGCTTGTTGGCTTCGATGGTGATGCGTAGTCCATTGTTGTTGAAGATTCGGCAAATGTCTTTCTTGATATTTTCAGTTTCTCTCGGTGTGGCGTTAGAAATGGCTAGTCCGTCGTCTCGGTACAGCCCTACGTTGATGTTAAGGTTCTGTAGTTGAGAAAGAAGAAATCTTCCTACTAACTCGCATGTTTCAGCGCCGTCATAGCTGCCCATTGTAACGTCAAATGTTGTGTCWCCTTTCTTCTGCCATTGTTGCTGCTTGTGTATGAGGATTGMTTTCTTRGCATGAATTATGATGTTTYGTTCGTCGTTGGTGATATTGTCGTATGTTGAGGCGAAGTCAAGCGCTCTGTTAAGGAGGTCATGGCTGATTGATGGATAGAATTCAACGATGTCAAAGCAAATAAAACTGTGTTGTTGTTTGCTTTTGATGGATTTGAAACACTCGATCACGGAGGCAGTGTTTTTCCATTGATTGAATTTCGATGCTGTCGCGATTTTGTTGTTGATTCTGTCGAGGATTCTTTTGCTGATTTTGCCTATCTCGGATTTAGTAGGATTGATTAGACGGCAGGCCGTTTTATTAGCGAAGTTCGGCTTGTGGTCTTTTTAAACATAAAAAAGTGTTAAAAGTGTTATGAATGCGTCCTTGTTAGCTGTAGTGTCTACTCTGTCGGCGTCTATGCCCAGTTTTGTTGCGATATTTTTGTTTTCTGCGTGGATGGCTGCTGTGGTGTTAGGTTGTGCTTTTTTGTTGGATTTTRTGATGTTCTGTTCTAGTAGATCGTTGTATGTTGATGGTTCCAGTTTATAGAAGTTCGTTGTTTTATCAGCGGCGATGAGCAGTTTCGGTTCTTTCTTGATCTTTTTGGTGTCGTCTTTAAGTTAGTTGAGGAAAGGGATATTAACTTGTTTGAATTTGGTCGATTGTATCATCTTAAGCATGTCGGTTTCAAAGTCCTTTAGTTCATCGATCGGTGGTGGATTCTTGTTTGACTTGAAGCCGTATGTATCTTTGGAAGACACCGTCACAAGAAAGGACAACAACACTACCGCAACATACATAGGACTCACAGAAAACGACTTCAAAACAAGATACAGAAACCACACCGCCTCATTCCGCCACGAACAACATAAAAACTCGACTGAACTCAGCAAATACATCTGGACTCTCAAGAACAGTAATATCAGCTGTTCCATTTTATGGCGCGTCCTATCTTCAAGCTCCTCCTACAACAGCTCCAGCAAAAGATGTAACCTTTGTCTTCAAAAAAAGTTTCTAATAAATCTATCGACCGGAACTCTCATCATTAAATAAGCGAAACGAACTTGTATCTTCATGCCGCCACAGAAACAAAGCGTTACTACGCAACAGCTAAACTATATCCACTAATTAATTATGTATACTTTTTCTATATAAATGATAGTAACGAATATTCTTATCATTAAATCCCCTGAAGAGTGAAGCAATTCACGAAACAGGCTTGTCGGGAAAAATGTTGTCTTGACTTTTTCTTCTCAAACAAATATTCTGCTCTACTTCTATCGATGTATTGAGCACTATTTTACGGAAAATTGATTCACAGATTTCTTTTATATATGGGAGCGCTTTATTTGAAGCGAAGATTAAAAGATTAAAAGATTTTTGGCGTTGCCGTTCTCTTTACTACGTAAAACAATGACATTTCATGCTGTTCTTTCAGTAGTATACGACGACAATGATGCAAAGTGTTTCGTACAGGAGTCTATTGAATATCATACATGTCCAATACACACAAAATGAGACGGATCGTCATGAAGAATTGAGGATCCGTCAAACCAGATGTCCCTGTGTTTTTCTTTTTCTTTTTCTTTTTCTTTTTCTTTTTCTTTTTCTTTTTCTTTTTTTTTTCTTTTTCTTTTTTCTTTTTTTTTCACGAAATGACATCCGGAGAGACGGAACGTCAAACCTCATGACGATCCGTGATGATCCGTCACGACCCGTCACGATCCGTCAACATTTTCGATGGACCACAACTAAATGATAAGATCAAAGAAACAAATAAGATATTAAGATCACTTAGCAAATCCAAAGGATAGTCTTTCTCAAACCATCAAAATATACGAACCGGTCATGTTTAAATCGCAGAGGACACCATCTTAACCGTAAAGGAAGCAACCAATTAACAAAAGACTTTCATAATTACCTTAATTGATTATTGATCCTTTTTCCAATCGGTTAGAAGTTTTAAGATGGCGTTACTAAATACAGTTAGTTTTCCTAAACATATTGACGAGATTCGAATATCTGAATTATTCAAATCATTCGATTTACTTGCGTTTAACGAAACCAGGCTTGATCCTTCCATCTCAGATGAGGTTAGAAGTTTTGGTTATGATTTAATTAGAAAAGATAGATCCAGAAAAGGGGAAGGTGTCTTGTATCTATCTACGAAGAGCTTGAACTATTAGTGAAAAATGCAGTTTTGTGCGCCTCTAAGAACGTCAAAAAATTGCACATGTCAACTATTCCCATCAAAATATTTCAAAATCTATCCAATAAACTTTCCTTCATATTTTGATATATAATGACGAGCATTGCATTTGATCAAAAATCTAAAACAAAAAATGGGGGTCACCATTCTCGTTTTTGATTTCTCTCGAAAACTGACACTTTTCCGAGTGGAGACTGGGGCGAGTCAGATAAAAATCGCAATTTCTCAAATTAAAAAGAGAGAAAAAAGTGAAAATTGGTTTTGAACATGCTTCTTATTTTGTTTCCGAAAGAAAAATGTCTAAACTTTGTTAGTTCCTTGTTTTTAGTTGAATGCGAAGAAACACGTGCAGTGCAAAACAAGGGAATTACATTAATAGGGAAAATAATATAATTGTTGTTGTTGTAAACAATCAATAATCTTCTTGGTAGGTCTAAAAATAATACTGTGGTAAATGAATAGAAATTCAATGATCTTACTATCAATTCTCCCTAGGGATTGGCTCAAGGTTTTAACAGCTATTTCATCAATGTTGGGCCTAGCTTAGCCAATGATATGCCTCTTTCAAGGGTCTCATTTGACAGTTTTGTTAAACCATCTCGTTCCAACCAAGTTGTCGGATTTTGGAACTGTTTCCAATGTGAAAGTTCTTAAACTTTTACATGGTCTATTGCCTAAAGCCACGGATAAGATTTCTTGCAAAATGTTAAAAGTTGCAGCATCAGCTATTTCTCCATCCCTTACATATATTATTAATCATGCTATCAGCTCTTGCTGTTTCCCGGGTGATTGGAAAATAGCAAGGGTTATGCCCCTTTATAAAAGCGGTCCTCGTTATCTTCCTGGAAATTATAGCCCAATTTCTATTTTACCTGTTATAAGTAAAATAATAGAGCGAATCATATATGGTCAACTTTATGAATTTCTCTCAGAGAACAACATTCTTTCCGAACGTCAGTTTGGCTTTCGGAAGCTACACTCTACTGCTTCTGCCCTACTTGAAAGTACAAAAAGCTGGCATATTAATATGGACCGTAAAATGTTTAATTTGGTGGTATTTCTTGACCTGAAAAGGCATTCGATACGGTTAACCATGAAATTCTATTGCGTAAAATGGAAGTATATGTTAAAATCATATCTAGCGGGTCGTGAACAGGTATGTCAGGAAAATGGAGTGTTGTCTTCAGAGAGCCGGATTGGCTGCTGAATTCCCAACCAGAAAATTTATTCAAGTCTATCTATTTCGTAGTATCTACTTAACAAATAGACATCAGTTTTTTATGTGTCTGTCCTCTTATTGACGATAAATTGCGTCATCACATTGCCAAAGTAGTGTGGATCCACGAGGCGTAGCCGAGTGGATCCGCATACTACTTTGACAATGTGATGTCGAAATTTATCGTCAATAAGAGGACAGACACATAAAAAACTGATGTCTATTTGTTTTTTACAATAACAAAAACGATTAATTCTTCTCATTTTTAGCAATCAAAACAACCAACGGAAGGAGCGCGTGCTCCGTTGACGTCAGCTTTATCTGTCTGTCCTCTTATTGATGATAAAAAATAACCAATCAGCGCGCGCKAAATTTGTAAGTTATTGTAAAAAATTTAATTGAATACTTAATTTACTATGAAGAAATAACTAGCAGCTAAAGCCTAGTGTGAGCTGCGTCGGTGTATCTAATGAAACAGCAATGATGAAAAGGTAAATTATACACCGCGAAAAGATGACTCAATGACGTTTTGGACGCTAGTCTTTCTTTTACTCCGACGAAGGACTAGCGTCCGAAACGTCAGTAAGTTTTTTCATCTTTTCACGGTGTAYAATTTACCTTTTTATCATTACTGTTTAATTTACWATGTATTATTACAGCTTAATTAACATTTAATTTTATTTATTTTTATTATTTTTATTATTTTTTATATTTTTATTATTTATTTCTTTATTTTTTATATTCTTTATTTCTTTATTTAATTTCTGTACGTGATTGGTTATTGATTAGAATAAAGTTAAATAGTATAAGCTTTTCATAGTCATCTTTATCCGCACGCCCCTTGTGGAAATCAGCTTCAGTTGAGCAGCAGCGCGTGTTTAAATACTACTTAACCTACCTACCTATCTACCTACCTACCTATCCTAGCTAGCGCCATCATTTGCATTTGTAAATTCAAATTACGGCTCACTTCGGTTAATGGACAGGTATTGCGTTCCCTCTGTGTTGTTTTTTTTTTTTTTTTCACAAAATGACACCCGGTGATACGGATCGTCAATTCTCCTTGACGATCCGTCTCATTTCGTGTGTATTGGACAGCCCTGAATATCGCAATTAATGCTATTGTATGCAGATTGCTATGCTTGCCCTCGTCGTCGTCGTTGCTATCCTGCACTTTAAGGTCCCTACTGACTCGTAAAGCATTCTGGGTCAAATCGTTAAATATACCTCAATGTGGAAGGTGTCTGCTAGGATATCCAGTTTCAGAAGTGACTCCATATTTCTTCTCTCAGCAGTATTGAAGTTTATGTCCTTCAAGGTCAGCCGCTCTTTCAGGTAATTTGCCTTGATTATTCGACCAGTAGCTTGATAGTGACCTTAAATAATTGGAATCGGAAAATAAACTTCGTGAAAATGAAACGGAGGAATAGATTATTTTAATCATCATCATCATCATCATCATCATCATCATCATGATAATAGCAACAACAACAGTAATATTAATGGCGAATAACTAACAATAATAGTAATATTAATATTAATGCAAGTAATCACAATATCAATAGCTATGATAATAGTAAATAATAATAATAATAGACTAATGATAGTGATAATAATGACAATAATGATCATGATCATGATGTATGCATGCACTAACTTTAATTAATCGAGAACGAAAGTGAACATAAACAAAACCCCCAAAAATGGGTAACAAATCAGCTATTCGATTACTGATGACTTGCTCTTATAATGAAAAAATAGAAAACTTGCACGCGTGCTGTGTGCAGTCATAAAGCACGTGGGGGTTGGCAGAACACGAGAGAAGTGCTTCTCGACACTTCTCGAGTGTTCTGCCAACCCCCAAGTGCTTTATGACTGCACACAGCACAGCAAACAAGTTTTTTATTTCTTTTATAAAATACAAATTACAATAATAGATAGGAATGACGCAACGGAAAGTGCGCGCGCGTGCAATGTGCTCTAATAAAGCACGCGCTCCAAACCAATCAAAACGCGACATTTATAACAGTTATTTTATAAAATAATAATAGTGGTCGGCAAAAGCACGCATTTTTTTACCTGGTTCGATTCGAATTATTGATGGTGTATGGAACCACATTAAGGTCGGGATAGTGGGAATGGACGAACTCTCCTGGCCTTGCCACTCGCCAACCACGCACGCTCCCTCTCTAATAGGTGTAGCTAAAAGAACAAATTAAAGAATATATATGTATAAGTATAACAATATAGTCATGTAACGGCTTTTTTTCAATCACCCTAGATAAGCTCCGTAATTTTTGAAGAGAAAAAAGCAGGAGAAACCGGGAGTGAGTATAAATATCCAGCGATATTTCTAAAATAACCTTTGAGTTTTGATTTTTTTTCCTAAGCCATATTTTAGCTAACTGGCCAAAGTCGATTATCGATGGTCGGTAAAATTAAAATATCTAGACATAAATAAGTTCATATTTAATTTTAAGGCTACTCATCTTTGCATAAGATATATATCTACTATAATATGGAAGGATTTAGCGTTGTGATAATTTGTTTTGGATTTACGAATTTTTAAACATCGCCCAAATTTCATGAATGAGAAGTAGTCAAAATCACTAATTTGGCCCCCAAGTGGACCCCCCTGAAACTTTGCAAAAAAGCGCCGAGACACAAAACAAAATGTGTTTTGGAAATAATCTTGGAAGGGCACACTCACACACAAAGTTTGAAAGAAATCTGTTTTTTCACCGAAAATGGTTATGAGGTTCTTACAGAGACAGCCTCTTAAGCATGCTTTACGTTCTGCATCTCATTAGATATCTTGCATCTCATTAGATATCTGTATAAATGTATACTACAACCTTTCTGCTAAGCCAAGTGTATGTATATATATACGTTCTATACGTATACAGACACACACTCAATTGCAGAAAGGTTGTAGCATAAATATGAGAAGTCTAACAATTACCTGGGTGGATGAGTTCATCTTTTTTCTTGTGCACGCGGCCTTGGACCGTTAGAAGTACCATAGAACATATCAACACGGCACTGATTTTGTGAAAGGACGCCATGTCTTGGAGAGAAAGTAGAATGAAATTTAACAAATGGATAACAATGCCTGAATGAAAATATAATCAATAATACTTATGAACAAATTAGGCAAATAAAACAAACCAAACAAGCCAATCAATTGAAAGCCATTTCTCTTGTTTTCCCCCACAATTATATTATTAATTTCATTTTTTTAAAATCTTTATTCATTAGCGTAAGCCATTAAAATAAATGGTACACCTGAATGTGATTCGTGTACAATAAAAACTATCGTATAAGAGCATATAATCGAGAACTTGTTACACTAAGAATTCCCATTCAGACTCCATGCCTTTATTTTTGTGAATCCAGGCGCCTGTTACAAGGTTTTATCGGGAATGTGAGGGAAGGAGGAGGATGACTTAGTAAGGATAATACTTAGACATTCGTGCAAAATGGGAGAGGCTAGCCACCTTCCTTACAACCCCTAGAAATGCTATTGCTTAACATAACAGCCTATTGTTAATTAATACAATCCAGCTAAAAATTTTTTAAAGTGTTAATTCTTAAAAGAATTCATAAATCAAATGAAACAATTTCTTTATGTTATAGGTATAACGGCATAACTGAAAAAATATAAGATAACAACTACTCGATAGCTTTCAGTTTTCAGTTTTTAACCATTTGTTCTTCAAAGTGCAAAAGGATTTTGGGAGTGTGAAAAAGGCAATAGTTTTTTTTAGGTTTGAACTTTGCCCCGCTTTGTAGAGAAACATTCCTCGACGACACCATAATATCACAAGAGTAAAAACCCACATACAAGAACGTTTAATGAAAAGCCTGTTAGGCAAAGATTTTCCTTTGACACCCCCTTTACATAAGAACCTGTTTTAACCTAAAATTTGAAATAGGTTCGATTTTACAAAATTTCATTAACACTTAAGAATTCATAAATCGAATTAAAAAGATCTTGGTATTTATAGGTATAAAAATCATAAAAAGATAACCTAGAATAGGGTTTGTATTTGATTAGATTGTAGCCATTTAGACATAACTATTTGTGTATTTTACATAAGCAGTAGACCACATCAATATTCTACCAGCAACAAGGCACCTTTTTTCTAAAAAAAAAAAAAAAAAAAAACAAGCAAGGACCTGTTTAAGAGCCTGGTTTTTTTGGGTTTTTTTTCTAAAAAAAAAACAAAACAAGAACCTGTTAAAGAACCTGAGCAACATTGTTTCCCAGCAGAAACTCTTAAGGGGATTCAAAAGTGGAGCAGACATACATTTCATTTGTAAGAGAGTCACGTAAACAGTTTGGCACGAAGAATAATATATTCAAACTGGTCTTTCATTCACGGTTCACTGATTAGGATTTGGGAAGATCTGGAAGTCATTTTTTGTAATGGTTAACCAGTTCATTGGAGGCAAAATAAGAGACCGCGTATTCAGTGTGAATGTGGCACTGGGTTGAATTCCTGATATATCGCTATAGCGATAAATCGGGTGCATTACGGGTAATTTTAGGCAATCATGGGTAATATATATATATATATATATTTGTTAGTTGGCGACGTTTACTGGAAAACTAGGCCATTTAGGTTCTTAAAGGGGTTCTTGTTTTTTTAAGGGAAAATGGTGCTTGTTGCTGGTAGACTGTAGGTGCAATTTATTTTTTTGTTGCATTAGTGACAAATCATCGTTATTGTTTAGTCTTACGGTGTTTTTCAATCTTCCATTGTGTTATTTTCGTCCCATGTGTCAGTATCGCAAGCAAGTCAAAAAAACGGTATTTCAGTTCAACGTTGACCGTTAGCGTACAGGTACACACAGTTTTGTAAGCATTCCTTTATTTTTCTTTTTTAAATTCTGTCTTTCTTTCAAAACGGTTTTTTCTTTTTTCCTTTCTTTTTTTTTTTTTTTTTTTTTTTTTTTTTTTTTT